CCATGAGTATATTTTTTGTTCATTTTTTAAATTTTTTAGTTTATATGAAAGTTATGAATTTAACGGAGAATTTTTTTTTTCGAGAGGTTAATGTTAGATTTTGAATATTTTACTTTGTTAGATTTATTAGTTAGTGATAAAAAAAATATTGAAAGAATTATGGTTTGAAGATTTTATAAATATAAATTAACGATAGAGTATAGAATATTAATTAGAAAGTTTCAAGTTATTGATATATTTCATAATTATAGTATCTAAATTTTTATCTATTATATTTATTTTGATTTTTAAATAAATTTTCTCTTTTCTGAAAAAAGAAAATCAATTTTTTTTATTTTTTTAATTATCCAACCATAACTGTCTGCAACCGCAAACGCTCGAAAAAAATAATTTTTGATTTTGAGAGGTTTGGAGCGACACAGAACGGTGTAAAGCGTTTCCATAATTGTTGTCAAACGCCAACAACCGTTACCACCCGTGAACGTAGTGTTTGCCGGTGATAGCGGGAGAACCAATCAACCCCTAAATAATATATGGTGATTAGATTAGTGTTATGTATAGACAAGATATATATGTGTACATTTGTATTAGTGTACATATTTAGTCTAAATATACATTACACTATTATAATATATAAATATCCATTTTTTAGAGGATAATTATAGAGGATAACTATCTATGATTATTATATTCTTAACCGACTTAAGTTTTATCTACTTAAGTTTATGTTCATTATTTTATGTATTTTTGAAGTAGTATATATAGGGGTGCTTGGTTCATGTAATATAGTGAAAATAAGAAGAAGAAGAAAACTTTTAAACTTACTCTCCACTCTCTCTACTATCTCTCACACGCTTTCACACACCCATAAATAATATTTCTCTTTTACAAACACACCCACACATCCATATAATATAAATCTTACCATATAAAATATTTAATTTATAATACGTTATCAGCACGAACGACTCTATATCCATATCGTTAAATCATATCCTCTGTCATAC